ACCATGTGCGTCCCAGGCATGGGTTCCCCTTCCACCACGAATTGACCCGCCTCATTCCAACCCAAGTCGGGATGAGCACGAATACGGGCCATCAACTGCCTGGCCTTGGTCTGTAGCGTTTTGGGAACCGTTTGCACGACTTCATTCAGAATGGCTTCGACATCATCGGGTTCTGAAACAAAAAAGAACAAACAAACCATGAGCCACTGCTCTACGACCGGCTTCGCGGACTCCTTCTTAGGAAGGCGACCTCTACGCGGGACGAACACGAGTGTGACTCAGTAAGTCAACCGTACTTACGGTGAGGAGATCCAGTCCTGGGGGTGCCAACCCTGGGAGTGCCGTCCTGGGGGTGCCCGTGGCCTCTAAAGGTCGTGGTTTGACAGCGGCTTGGTCTTGAAACGCCAAGGTGTGTTGCAACAAGGTGTTATACTGCTGCTCTCGGTCCCTAAAAGGAACCGTGTCATCACGGACGAGGGTATCCATATCGTGAAGCGTGTGCACGTTTCTGTTCCAACAGGTTGGACTTGAGCAAATGCCGTTGACGTTTTTCTTCTTGCAGACTTTGCCATACCTCTTCTGGGACCATCACCATCTTCCGTGCATGCTTCATCTTGGTGGTAGGACGGTGCAGATGCAACTAACCCCAATCTAGGATGTGTCCTCTATTTATGATCTTCCTTGAGGATCTTCCTTGAGGATCTTCCTTGAGGATCATCTACCCAACAGGCCAGACACCAAGGGACCCACCACCGATGCCAAGGCAGACAAGAGACCTAATCCCCTTCCTTTCTGCTGTAAAAGTTGACGTTTCTTGGACACAGACACCTTCTTTTTCATCAACGTATGCATCAGTGACCCATGCTTTTGTAAACGTTGACGTTGCTGTGCTGTCATAGGAATGTTGCCTCCATACAAATTCACCACGCATTCACAGATGGCTTGAATCAGTTCCGATGGGGCCTGTTTCAAAATAGCCTGTCGCATGGCTGGTGTCGCAGAAGGACTACACACATGACAGAGCGCTTCTTTGTGACGCTTCAAACGTGCCGACATGATGATGGTGTCGTCCCTGCAGCTGCTACCGTTGAACTGACCAGGATGGGGGTGGGAGGCCTCTATTTATGGTAATGTCGCTGGAGGGAGTGGGGGTAATGCCGTTGTGGTCTTCTTCTTCTTTTGACTTCGTAACACCATCCGGGTCAAGGCTGCACCTGGGGCTGAGGGTGAAGTGACCCTTTTCTTCTTCTTCTTCTTGTTCTCTTGTCGGGTGGGTGACTTGCGACGCTGGGGTTGCTTAGGGGCACGGCGGCGACGGCGAGGTGCTGAGGGCTTCTGCTGTTTTTCCTGTAGGTAGGACTGCCAGTTCAGCAAGATACGGGTCAACACACCAGCCAACGTACCACTTCCACTGCGTTTCATCAGGTAACTCAGGCGTTCATCCATAGGTAGTCGTGGATTCGCAATCTTGGTCAGCATGTCTTGGTGCCTCAACAGCCAGGTCTTGTGCTGCGTCTTCAAAGGAACACGTCCTGCTCGCAGATTTCTCACGGCAATGACAAACCATTGCAACAGTCGATGACGTCCTTTGACAGCCCGCAGCTCTCTGCCGAAAGGAGTCGTTTCTTCACGATGATGGGTTTGACTTTTCTGCGGGCGGGCATGCTTCTGTGGCTTCCTTTGCGTGGGGTGCCCGGGCTGGGGCGTTTAGCACCCGTGCGTTTCTTGCCGGTGCGTTTGGTGCTGGTGGTACGAGGTTGGGTCAAGGGTTGAAAGGGTTGGATCATGGTGGGAGAGAGGGGAGACGATGGAAATGAAGGGGGAGAGGCCGGAAAAGAAGAAGGGGGAGAGAAGGCAGCAGGAGAGGCACGATACGTACTGACAGGGACAAACGTGTTCATGGTGGGTGCTGTGGGGTACAACTGCTTTAAGGAACGTCTTTGTTTGGAGGAGGAGGAGGAAGCAGAGGGAGGAGGAGCACTTAGACTTTCGTACAGTCGTTGCACACCTGACCGATGTTGTTCGGTGGGATCACGACCCAAGGTGGTCAGGAGTGTTTTATGGATCGGTTTAAACAACCCTGTGGCAACAGCACGTTTGCGGGGCTGGGTCTGTTTCCGTCTGTCTCCCATGGCAGCTCTGGGTCAACTGACCGTAGGGTAGACGATCATCTCTATTTATCACGACTTGGGAATGTAAAGGGTGGTGGGGTTACGAAAGAGATGGGACCGTACACGGTGCTCTTTGGCCGTGGTCGGTTTCAAGTCCAGAAACAAATAGGAATAAGGAGCCAAAGTGGCATCCTCATAGGCTTCCCGAAGGAAGGCCGTCTGTCCTGGAAAGATTTGTCTGGCCAAGTGATCCATTTGCGAGGCGTCCCTCGGGTTTTTAAACAGCACCATGTAGTGGGCATTTAAACTAATGGTGCGATGATGAGGCGATGAAGCAAAGAGGTTTTGCGTCAAGTACAACACGGACGTGTTGCGATGATGACTTTTCTTGGTAAACCATCGCAGGACTTCGGCTTCTTCCTCTTTGGTATTGTCGCCCAGCAAATCATCAATGATCAACCAATGGGGCGTAGGCAAACCCTTCTCGGCCTTACCCCCAGACCCTGCAGGTAACTGCGTGTTGGCTTCCCCCATGGTTTGCACAAACGTCAGGGGTATCCCTAACCTCGAAGTCAGAACTTCCAAGTCCTCATGCATGGGTTGCCATTCACTGTACACCCACACGATGCCCTGAGGTGGAAGATCTAGGATCCCCGGTTGAAACACATGTTCCATGAAGGCTTTGACAAACGATGTTTTACCTGACCCTGTAGGGCCTGCAATTAACATGGTAAAGGGATGACGTAACGTGAGTGGGGTGACCATGGCCTCCACCAGGTCTGAGTCTAACACTGTCCCTGATAGTGTCCCTGACATACTGACACACGTCTTACCACCCTGCGGGTTGCACCGGAAATGACCTCTAAGAGCTAAGATCCCTGAAGATATAGAAGACACAACCCTTTGAAATGGAATTCACATTTTATTGAGGAACAACATCAACATGGCAAACAGATCAACAATAATGATGCATTAACAGATCAACAACAACAGGTCATCCACAGATCACCACCAGTTCAGGTGATCCTCGGGATTGCAGGTCGAACACCGTAAAAAGTCCATTTGTCCGGGATGAAAATGATTTTCATCGTTAAACATGGGGATGTCGGCAAAAGTCTCTGGCTCCTCCTCTGGAGCCGTCACTGAAGTCATCACCAGATCCGTCTCTGGAGCCCTCACTGAAGTCGTCTCTGGAGCCCTCTCTGGAGTTGTCTGCTCTGCTTCCATGGTGATAGCCATCGGGAGTAGATCATACAAGTCTTGAAGATCTGGAGGTAACTCTGCCGGGGGGATCTCTTGGGGGCTAGCAGGACTGATCCCTTGACCCTTCTCGCTCTCCCACAAGTCAGTCATCTCCAACTGTTTCTTTGGAGTCTGGGGTGCTTTGAGACTCTTAGGCTTTGGGGGTGCCTTCTTGGTGAGTGTCTTGGGAGGGGACGTCTTCTTGGTGACTGTCTTGGTGGGGGCCTCCTTGTTTGACTTCTTCTTCTGTTTCTTTGGAGAAGTCGTGGCCAGGGTCCCCTGGGGAGGTGACGTCATCTTGGTGGGTGCCTTGGGAAGGGGTGGGGTGGAGACCTTCTTCTTCTTCTTTGGAGAAGTCTTGGCAGGAGTGGTCTTGGGAGGTATTCTTTTTCGAGGCACGGGCTTGGGCGTCATGTCGGTGACCTCTGGATCATTGGAGAACAAAGGTAGAGTGCAGGTGGCATATCGAAGACTATAGCTGGGTGGGTGAGGCCAGAGTTTCACCTGGAGTTTGGCCAGCAGCTTGCTGTACAGCACACCATGGTCATAGGTCATAGGACGCCCATTCCTCAACTTGAACACGATGTGGAACAGCTTGTTGAGGAAGGTCTCCCCTGCATTTTCCTTGGCATAAGCATCGTTGATACCGATGAGGATCAAGCGAGGACACGATCTGTTGGCGCTGTCGGAGAGGATACGTAAGTGGTCTTGGTGATACGCCATCCAGTAATAGTCTTCCTCAGTCAACTCACAGAAGCGACCCATCATGCCATACAGTGTTTCTCTTTTCGGCTGAATATCTGCCAGCTTGCGGATGATCGACGGCAACTTTTGTTCCATCACACGCAACCGGTCCTGGAGATCCATGTAGTTGGTCTTGTATAACTGGCTTTGAGTCATCATGGTGTTGTGGAGATGGGCCATGTCAGAAGCAAGGTCCTTTGCCTGCGAAGCCAAGTTGACGAAGGAAGAAGGGAGGTTGCCTGGAGATGCCATCTTCAACGACTGAACTGATGCAACTGATGACCCGCTCAATCGATCCTGCGTTTTTATAGGCAGCACCAGCAGCGCGAGCTATGACGTCACTTCAAATGACGTCACTTCAAATGGCGTCACGATCGTGTTGTTTCTGGATGGCCTCTTGCACTGCTTTTCTGAACTGTTCTATAAAGTGTCTCTCTTCTAGATAGGTGGCAAGCACAAAGAGCAGCGTGAACAGCATGATGACGAATCACGATGGGGTCAGAGTCTTTTTATAGAGATACACAGGATGACGTCACGTGGCGCGTGCATGGATGACGTCACGTGCATGGATGACGTCATTGGATGACGTCATTGGAGTTGGTCCATGGATGACGTCACTCACAACAACAACAGCGTGTCACGAAGATGCATGAGCGCTTTTCCCAACTTGTTTTTCCCCGACCATGTCCAGGGTTTGTCAATATTCGGATGAGATACACCCATTCCTATTCCCCATCTTTGATCGTAGGGGCTAGCTTCAGCTAACGACTTTGGGTAGGATTGAATCAATCTCTGTTTCAAGTCCTTGTTCTGGGAAAATTTAGCCGTGATCGCCTTGGTCATCACCTCAAGACTGACCGTGTCCCACACTGTTTGAGTAAAGCCTTTCACACATCGCCCCAGACGTTTTTGCTTTGCTGGAACAGCCTCTTGCAGAATACGCGTCGCACTGTCCAAATCTCCAAAGTACATGGCTTTAGAGTACATGTAACACTGTTCAACACAATTAAATGTAACACCATCCAAGGTAAACACTGCTGGATGAAAGTTGCTGAACGGTGACTGGATTCCATAGAAGAATAACCAGGGGAGTGTCACTTGTGACTGTGCCTTGTCCGTGGGAGTCTTGAGACCCAGCAAGGTCATGGCTTCTGTTTCTCCACATTCCTCCAAAGCTTTGCAGAAGAGGGAGTAAGCTTGGGGTCCACGTCGGGGAAGCATGTCTAACAATTCTCTGACACGGTCAAAGGAGGTCCGAGGTTTTTTCGATAATCTCTGCCTTCATGAGGATGGTCAGGACTTTAAACGTCATCAGTTTGTCGACCACGGCTTCGACCTGCTTGATAGCGAGCACGAGACCACAACGATTCTCCCTAAGCCTATCGCGGTGAACGGGTTCCATCCTTCTCTTTTCTTAGACAACAGAATCTGTAATGACTCTGACAGAAACGTCTCTTTATATATACACACAGGGTCGTGATGACGTCATAGGGTGTGTGACGTCAACCCCCACTTCAAGGGGTTGTATTCGCAAGAAAGAAAAAATTGTCGTTAGCAGAGCGTGGTTTCGATCCACGGGCCTCTGGGTGATGAGCCCAGCACGCTTCCACTGCGCCACTCTGCTCTCCCTTCCCTTTTTTGTGACAGTACCTATGACATGGTAAACATGACCGTGGCCTCCACCAGGTCTGAGTCTAAGAACAGGGTACAACAGGATTGAGGGTGACCATGGACTCCACCAGGTCTGGCCCTGAAGAGAGAGAGAGAGACGACATAACACAAGAGTACAATACAATCACAATTTATTGAATGATAGAACAACAAATGAACAAGGCAATCACATTTTATGGGTTAAACATCAATACATCAGAGCATGTCTGCATCAAAAGTCCATGGGAGGGATGGGTTCACTCTTTATAGCCATAGGGGAGAGTTTCCCTGGGGACACCTTGGGGGTCGTACTGCACTCGGCGTTTGGTGTAGACCAAGCGATAGGTTTTGGTGGTGTCCTTGGACAGCAACACGTTGCCCTGACGAAGTCCTCCGCGAATGATGCGGTGTGGGTACGGGACCGTGATGTTGGCTTGATCCCTCTGACAGACGAGGTTCTTCATGCTGTCAAAGTGGACATGTTGGCTCGCCCTGTGATTTAAAGTAAATCCTCGGACCTTGCTGATGCCCACACTGCCGTCAGATTGAGGATGGCGCAGCTTGTAGCCATAATTCTTGGGTCCTGCCGAGACAAAGGTTTGAATGCTGTTGCCCCCCTCCCAGTTCATCAGTCAGCTCCCCCAAGGTATCTCCCAGTGGCGGGTTGTAACTTCGTGGACGGTGAATGTAAATGATACTGTCCGTATCAAAATAGAGGACACGTCGATCCAACGGTTGCAAATAAGAATACAACTTGAGACGGGCTTGTGCTGTCACCCAGGCTGCAATGGCCACATTGTGGGCTGGATGAGGGTCGTGAAAGTCTGCCTGAGGTTCATGAGTGACACAGATGAGATCTTCATTGATGATGTTAATGTCTTTCACCACACGGGGCGCTCATCCGGGAGGAGGGCAAAGTACCTCTCAGGGGAACTGATATATTCCGTCTTGGCAAACCCAACGCGTTGACCAAACTTGCCCCAGTGATTGTTCAGGCAGGCCTTGGCTAAGGCACGTAGTCCTGGGTTTTTTGTGAATGCGAGCAGGATCCAAGGTGACTCCCTCTTTCTGCTGTATCTCGTGGATGTAAGCGTCTGGGTCTGGACAACCTTCTGGGTAGCCACTGGCCTCTTGCTTGAACTTGAAGAAATTGTTGACATACTTGGCAAACAGTCCTCCCTCTTGGGTGTCAGGGTCGTAGGTGGCAAGCGTGTCAAAGTGCCAAGCCTCAAAGATGTGAAGCACCTGATAGCCACACTTTTCAACAGCAAACTGAAGCTCCTTGCTGACGTAGGTACCGATCCATGCCCGGTCTTCATCCCCGTGGGGACAGGGAGCATCCAACTGTTCTTCAGCACACGTACGGCACAGCGGAAAGAGCAGTTTGCCTTGACACTTGTAAGGAAGAACAGGATGATAGAGGTCGGTGGGTGGCAAGACTCGACACTGGATCAGGCCGTGGAGCTCAAACAAGTCAGACACGGGAGGATGATCTTTGATCTCGGGGTGTCCCACGGGAAAAGTCCCATACTTGCAGATGTAAGGGTACAGCGAGCAAACGTCCACATATTTGATTTCTTCATCTTCTTTGGCTTCGTAGTACAGTTTGGTGGCGTTGGTACGACCTCCAAAGAAAGCATCTCTAGGATTCAACGGGTCAGGCATGTAGGCATGGGGTCCTTGCAGGGTAGTCAGGAAGGCTCTCAGATCACCGTTGTCTTTCTGTTGTTTCAGAAAATCACATTCCCAGAGGGTCACCACTTGGCCGATGTCGGGATGTTGGCGTAACACACCCAGTCGGTACATGGTATGATGGTATCGTTCCCAAGGGGTGGTACCCAAGCTAGTATGGCGTTCACATCGGTCCGTCTTGTAACAGCGAGTACATCCATGCCAGAAACAGCCCAAGTATTCGTACACGGTGCGTGTCTTGGCGTCGTAGCCATCTGCCATGTAACGACTTCCGTCAGCACAGTCAAAGCCTACTTCTCCACCATTCCGAGCATGTTGGATGTGAACCCCAGGGTGTTGATGCATGACCCAGTTGAGCCAGTGGAGACACTGAAGCGAGTAGCGACGCTGGGGGCGATAACCTTGAGTAGGTAGGATGGCGATGGTGCGGGGTTCCAAAAAACTGTTTTCGGAAGGTGAGCATGCAAGCCATGGGTAGCGTCACTGCTTCATAGAAAGGGTCCACGTTGTTCTGTTGGATGAATATGTTGCGGAATGCAGCACAGCCTCGACGCAAAATGTCCACATCACTCTGACAGTAAGTTAACAATTCTTCATCCAGATCAAAGACAGTCCCTTCAGCCACCCGTGCATCGTACCAGGCCAAGAAAGCTTTACGTTCGGCAGGAAACATGCTGTCAGGATCGTAAGTAGACACGGGAGGATAAGGACCCACATAGCCTTGGTGAGCTTCGGTGTTGAAGAAGTGAGGGAAGTAGCCTTTCTTGAGTTCCGTCAAGGCAAACGTTTTTGGAAACTGCTTCAGAGCCATCGTGAGGAAGTTGAGGGAATCCTTGAAAACCAGGCGTCCCATGGTCATCTGCAAGATGTGATTCCCACGTAGTGTGACCTGGGGTGCTTTCACGAGATGTTGATGGAAGTACTGTTGGAGCAAGTGTCCATCATACCCACGGTAGTTGTGAGCAATGACCAAGACGTCGTCATCATCGAGGGTAGGAGAAATGTCGTCTTCGTCGTCTTGTTCTTTGTCGTCATCTTGTTCTTCTACATCATCATCATCGGATTCTGGTGATACCAGTTTGGGTTGTTTGGAGGCACGGCCTGACGACTGCTGCTGGGATGCCTTACGTTTCTTCTTCTGCTTCTCTTTCTTTTCCGCCAGATGCATCAGCCAGTCGCCCATGTCCTTCAAGGTCGTCGATCCCCGAAACACTTTGATGCGGCTAGGCCCTTCTCCTTCCTTACGCCAGGGGCACTTGTCACACAACTGATCCGAAGCCTCGGGAAATACATTTTCCGCATCCTAGATGCACCACGCACAAGTTGGGAACATGAGTTCCTTGATCTTGAGTACATTCAAAGTCATAGAAGATGAACTGACGTTGTTGTCGTTCTTTGTCTTCATCCATTTTTTTCACCGTCTTCATTTAGTTTCGGTGGTTCGATGACGGACATGTAACACTGGTGGTTGGGTTTCAAGGGTTCTTTGCAGATCTTACAGTCCCAATTCGTGCCACACTGGTGGTTGGCCATGCCCTGAATTTTCCTCACGTTGACTTTGGCATAGCAACGGTGACAGGTGTGGATGGTGGAGCAGGTACTGGGATGCTTGGCGGAGGCCGTCCGATGGCGTTCAAAGCAGGTCTGGTTTCGGAACCATCCGCCACATTGGAGACAGGAGAGCCCTTCACTGACCACGTCGCCACAGTATCCAAGACATTGGCACCAGTGGCATCGAAATTCTCGGGTGCAGCGATGATCTTCAGCGTGGGCGTATCCTTGGTCACACGTTTCACAATAGTAGGGATAACCTGTGAAAGCAGGCATGGAGGTAATGACATCGTAATGGTGATGGTGGTGATACAGGTGAAGGATCTTGGTGGGTTGAGGCACTTCACTCTTGTACAGGAGGCGATTCATCACCTCTTGGGAGTAGACTTTGAGCTGATAGTAAGGGGTCAAACGTTGACTGAACAACTCCCACGTGGCACGCCCTGTACAAGGCCCTTCGGGGATCTTGAGTTGGCGAAATAAACCCTTGGCAGCCTTCAGTTGCGCTGGTCTTTTTTCGTTACGTATGTATCGCCATTCCGTCTTCCATTCTTTGGTCACAGGATCGGGTTGGTGTGCGTGGTGACTGGCCACGACCAGGGCACGGGCAAAGCAGAGCTGATCCTCATTCTTGATTTGAACGATGCATTGTTTCTTTTCCAGGAAAGCGTTTAAGCCAACGAGGTGTGTTGCCCGGCCGTGTCCCTCACCGATACGATCAGGATCCTCTACATGCAGTAAGAAAATGTCCATGGTGTCATCGATATGTAAGTCGTGGTTGCTTTGTTGTACTTTTTCCACTTCGCCCATGATGTGTTCCCCCCTGGAGGTCACCCATCCGCCGAAACGTGATTCGAATGTCTGTATCCAGGGCGGGGTGTTCCAGGGCCAATCCCACGCGATCACCATCCTGGCCACCCACATCGTCTCTCAAATCTGCTAACACGGCATCAAACTGTTCTCTGAGAACGACGGGAAGGTCTTCAGGCTGTTGACGCTGCAGCCAAACAGGGTTGAACTTCA